GGAAAAAAAAAAAAAAGGATTCTTTCCATGAAATAAAAGGTAGTATTAAATATACTGAAAACTAAAAAAAAGAAAAAAAAAGTTTATATAATCTCTTCTCACACACATACACACACAAAAATATATATATATGGGCAGTGTGCTCTATGTGACCCTGCACGAGCAGGGAGCTCGATGAGATGATCAGTAGAAGAAAAGACCTGACACAAGAGAGATCAATTTGAATAAAGTTTTAAAGATGAAGAGCTTGAAGTTTCTGCAGAGTTGGGAGTCCTGAAGGGAGACTGAATGCTATGTCATCAGTAGCAGATTATATCATAGCCAATTTTAAATGAAATTATAGGATGGAAATCAGAAATGCTACAGAACAAGAGGGTCTCCAAAATCATGATGAAGAGTGAAAGTGAACAAACTAGACATCATTTACAGTGGTCACAGTTTCAGTTCTCTTATACATCCTAGTAAGACTGCTTTTAATGCATCACTTATTGCCCTGCAGAAGGGATTCATTACAGCACTCTAAACACTCAAAGTTTTGTTATAAATTTGTTTGACTTTTTATGCTAAAGATTTAATGGGAGGATACACTTCAGCTCCAGAGACAAGGTAATGCTGAAAAACTTTGCACTGAGCAATATTTTTTGGCAACAGAGCTTATCACCACTAGCTCTGCTTTTGTTCATGCCATTGCATTAGCTACGGTGCAAGCAGAAATCACAGCCTCCTATTATTTGGAGCAATAAACTTTATTATTATTAAGTTGGGCTTAGTTACTTAAACTGTTTGCATATAATCATTTCATTCTGCTAGGAATGCACTAGGCATGTCAAAATTATAAAACAGCTTGAAAGCAGAGTAGCCTTTAACATGGTGTAATGTATTTCTCTACAAGTTCACCTTTTCTCTATTTCTAATAGTGGTTCACTGGAAATAAAAACAATTCATTCTAGGAAATATAAACAATTTCTGAAAGCAAGACACACTAAGAAGTTACATTAGAAGAGTTAAAATCTTTAAATTATGAATTAATGCTAAGAAAAATACTATCATCTTAATTAACTGCAATAATAAAAATGCTAATTAGTGCTTAGAGAAGGTGCTTTATTTCTTTGAATCTGATAGGAAGCATTTACCACTGCAGGATCAAGTGTCTGAACAGGAGACAGGGAGGCAGCAGCAGCTGAACAAAACACTTGGAAGTGGTCCACAGGACTTTCACATGCACATCAGTAAAAAAATGACACAGAGAAAATAGTTAATTGTTTTTATAATAGATTTCTTTCATCAGCATACTTTTAAGATCAGAACTTTTTTTTTTTTAATTCTGTTTATTAATCTCCAGCAAAGTTTGGTGGTGTAATTGTTCAGAACAGTTGCACAAATTCCACTTCTCTGAGATAACGAATTTTAAAAAGCCCCTGTACAGTCCTGCAGGCAGGAGATCACAGTGAGAATACTAAGGAACTGCTCCTTCCTCTAGGACCCAGCCTTTCCTCTACCCTTGCTATCATCTTGCAGGCAGGATGGTCTTGATTCCTTAAATAGGAATAAGTCAGATTTTTAAAGCACCTCCTTCCACCCAATTCATGAAATGAAGCAGAACAAAAGAACATTTTGAAAGATTTAAAATCCACAGTAGATATCAGTAAATAACTATCACACTGTAATTCGACATTGAAACAAACATAAATCTCTAAACTTGCCATTCAGCATTCTTTGCCTACATACCTAGCCAGAAGTGTTTCCTTTTACTACGTGACAACTAATTTAGGGTAGCTCCTTCACTTGAATTCCATTCAACGACCTGCGCAGGGGCAAAGCAATTTATTCTGCTGCTTCTCTTAACCCTAAAATTTGCAGAGCTCAAACATTTACTTTCTACCTTTATTAACTCAATGTGCACTCTTGCTACCAGCCACATCTCAAACAGTTCAAAAATATCCTTTTCATGACTATAAAAAATAATTATGTTGTTAAAGAGCACCATTAGTTTACTTAAGACCTGCCAGTTCACTGTTTATAACAGCAAGGCACCCATGGGGAAAGCAGAATTCACCTTTTCCTTTGATAGTCAGTTTGACTTGCATGCACTGCCCCCTCAACCAATCACATACACAAAGGAACTCGAAGTAATACATGGTAATAAATTCTCTTTTTCTAGGTACCAAATCTCATAATATCTAATTCAAGTTTTTTGAAATGGTGTTAGCAATGAAATGGAAGCGATCATCAATTTCTAACAAAGCACCGAAGGATCCAAAAATGTCTTCACCAGAAATACTGAAAACATATTGATTCAGTGCTAGTAATAACCAAGGCTAAACTAAAAAAAAGAACCCAAGCTGTATGAACAGAGTAGACTTCAGCCAATTCTTGAAACAAATCTGAAGACAACTAGAAGTGCTTTCATTGTAATGAACTGTTTATAGGTCAGTTACTATGGGAAATGTTACCTCAGTTTATCAAACTGTAGTTGGTTACTCAACATATTAACACACTCTTTATACAAAAATGCAAACAATTGCACACAAAATTCACTAACGCTAGTGATACAGCTCACTGCACACTGAATTAATAATAAAATGCCCATGTGTAAAAAAACCCACCTTAGTATCCAACATCAGCAACAAACATTAAAGGTACACAAGAAACAGTTCTTAGCATTTGAAAGCACTTTGAGAAAAATATTCGTTGTTTGTAGCTCTTTTGCTCTTTTTTGCATTTCATCTCTAACTAGTTATTTGCCAAAAAACTTCACAAAGCTTCACAACAAAAAAAAAATGCATAGAATATTGGTACCTAAATATTATTTTTAAAGAAAATCCAAAACAGTGCCTTATTACATTTATTCTTTTTGATCAGCGCAGTAATGGAAAGTGGCACTTCAATACTCTATATAGGTTAGCATGCATTACAGTGTGAAAGCTATCTATTACTTTTAGCAGTTTAAAACAGGAGGCAGAGTCTGGGTTCGATTTCCATCCTTTAGCTCATCAAGTTACTTAAAACCACATTTTCAAAGTGATTACTCATTTTGAATGCCAAAGCTTTTGAGCTACAGAGAAAATAAAGCTGGAAGAAGAGCATTTTTATATCACAAGTAAAACTACCTTTCTTGTACCAAGTACACAATGAGGCTTTTCATGATGGTTTTCAATATTTCACAATATATTTTTCCAAGCAACAGTATTGCAAGCAGATTTTTTTTTTTTTTTTTTTTTTTTAAACACTTGGGGGGGAAAAAAAAACAGCTTTATTCATTACCATTGCTTCAATATGATCATAATGATATGAGCTCCCTACCTAAATGGCCAGCACATATAAAATCCTTTTCAAAGTACTGCTGTAGTTTAACCCTATACAGCCCGAGTTGCTCATAACTGTGGAGCTAGAAAAATTGAGATTCTGGAATATGCTGAGTATCTGGGGCAGAGAGAAAGAAATGCATTCCAAATCTGCACTACTACTGCTCTTTTAGGGTATTTAGATTACCATTAACAAAACACCCAAGGAAAAAATGAACAAATACAATACAGATACTTTCATTTATTAAGAAATTACTCCTACTAGATTGCTAAAAATTTAAACAGTGAGCATTGGCAATGTCTTGTAAAACACTGCAAATACCAGCAAAGCTCGGTCACAATGGAATGCCATCTGGATGAGCAAAACATTCCTGATGTCTAAATAGTAAATGATGCTAAATACCTAATTGCAAACTTGGATAAGTTCAAATCTGGAGCCCAGGTAAAGGGTAATGGCTTTCAACAATTAAGCTGCTCCTCCTAAAAGCTTAAGTGGAGACATCTAAGCAAAAAAATGCTAAAGGCAAGGTACTGCCTTGCACCTGAAACATTTTCGAGGGTAAGCTCAGGCTTGCAAGGTTTAACACGGAAGCCTACAAAGCGTTTGTGCCCCTTGTTGCTATTTTGGATTTCTACAAGGCAGTTCCACAGCATGTGCTCCAACGCAGGGCTGCAGCTTTGACGCAGCCTTTTATACAGCCTGCAGGTTTTTGATTCGCATCCTCGCAGCCAAGCCCCCTACTCACACGTATCCCCTCAGGGTTGGGTCCCGCGAGCCCAGGGCCCCCCCCCCGGCCCACACAGGCAAAGGGGGAGAGCAGCCCAAAGTCACGGGAGGCAGGGAGGGAGGGAAGCTCAATGCCCCCCGCGCGGGCGCCCACTCACACGGCGGGCAGCGGGGCGCAGGCGGCCTCCTCCACGCCGCTCTCCACCATCACCTCTTCCCCGATGCGCGGCAGGGCCTGAGCGCCACCGGCGCCCCGCGCTGCCCAGCCGGCGGGGGGCAGCTGCAGGCCAGGGGGCAGGGGCCGCCATGGCCTGCTGAGAAGGGGACCTGGCGCCGACGCTGTGCCCTTCATGGTGGCCGGGAGAATGTCACCTGTGCCCAGCAGGGCCGGGGAGGCCGCGGCGGCGCCGCGTTGCTGTTGCTAGGCTGAACGCGCAGGACACGCCAGCCCGCCGCCCTGCAGCCGCGCATGGCAGCGCAGGGAGCAACACGCAGCACCGCCTCTGCAACCCAACCATCTAACCCGGGCAAAAACGAGGGGCATCTGCCACACGTACAGCTCCCAGCCCTTCTCTTCCCATGCCCTTCCCAGCGCCATCCTGCGTGCTGCAGGGAAAGGGGCTGACAGCAACATGTGCTGGTGGCAGAAACCCTCCCTGTGAAGTCCCAGCAGGGGAACAGCCCCCATGCAAAGACTCCTACCAAAATCTCACCCTTTTCCCATTACATTTTACCTCAGCATTTCTACAGGCTTTTGTCATTTTTCCTATAAATGTGACTTGCCAATTTTTTCTAGACCATCTATACTGAGGCAAAATGAGCAACTTGGATGTTTCTCATTATAGTTCTGATTTCAGATATATAAGAACTCATCCCAGGTTAGCTTTTAAAGAATACACACTTGATACTATGCATAGCTGGCACCCCATCTTTTCACTGCTGCCTCCTCAACTTTCAGTGCTTAGACAGAGAGAGAGGATTTGTCACCTGGTCTGAGGAGATGAGAAAGAAGTGATGAAAGCACCACAATGGGGATCATCCTGTTACTGTAATTACGGACTCTTCACCTACCACTTCCCTTGGAAAAAAGCCTTCCCTTTTCACCTCAGTATTTCCTGAGCTACTGAATTCAGTGTATGCTCCTTGTTACTCATTTGGTTTAATCATAAAACAAAAAGCTTATTAAAACCCAGTACTTTTCATCTACACATATTTATAAGCTGCTTTTTAATGATTTATATGAGAAGTATTGTTCTGAAAATCTATTTTCTAAATCAGTATATCAGAATACTTACATTTAGGGTAGTACTGAAATGGATGAGGAAAATGCCAGCGGGAAGAAAAAAACATCTGAAGGATCAAACACTTCAAAAATTGAAACATGAGCACAATTAAACATTAGTATAAATATACCAAGGACTGCCTAGAGTCTAATTTACAATTACATACTCAAGCACCCCATAAAACTGCAAATAATTCTAAACATTATGAACAGATTTCAGAAAAGTTTGCTCTTCCTTTGCTGTCCTAGGAATCACTACTAGTCTATAGGTTTGAACCTTAACACTGGTACAATTGCTACCTAACCTGTTTCTATAGAATGAGTTAAAGTAATTCTACTAAGAACTAGAGAATTTATTCAGTTTCTTCACAGTTCTTTTTAGCTAAAGGCAAGATTATACAGTCATAAGGAGAGAAACAAAGTTTGAATTCAATCTACTTTTGAAGTTCCTCTGCCCCTCTTACCTGCAATCAGAGGTCTTCCAGTTATGTTAGGAATACTTGTTCCTTCACTCAGTTCATACAGGCTTCAACATGTTTGCTGTTGACTCCAAGTTTCACTTAAAGGTCTGCATATAATTCTTTATATGTGTGTAAAACTTGAGACGTCTCAGCCTAAATGGCCTTCTAGACTTCTGAATTTCATTAGAAATTTCTTTTTGTTTTGTTTAAATCATTAAAAGTTGATTAAAGCAGTTCACAGCAATAAGTCCTAACCTCATTAAGAAGGCTTAAGTGCTTAAATAATCCTTCACTGTAGGTTCTGAACAGCATACTGACAGGATGAAGTTTCTTTCTGTTTCTCTATTTTCTTAAAATGAAGGTATTAAAAAACACTTTGAAGCTCTGCTGAATTCCTGCCTTTACCTCTAGAAGTAATAGTCATGTTACTAACCGTTTCACATGGAAAGTTTTTAAATCCATTTCACTGATTCTCCCCTTGTCTGATGAAAGTGAATGGTAGGGTCCAGTCTACCTTCTCCACAAGGTAGTGGAGTTCAAGATACAGTGAGATCTGAACATTCCTCTTCTCAAGCAAAGTGCAAGATTCAACTTGAAGAAAGATCAACATAATGGCAGTCATGACATTGTTCAATGGCTTGCTGAACAGCATGACACACCTTAAACTCAAAGGAAAAATAGAGCAAAAAGACACGTTTTATTTCATGGGGAAAAAAACAGCAAATAGTTCCCATAATAGTAACATACGTCACATAACACATTGCAAAATCAAGTGCCAGGCTCAAATTCATGGCTTTTTGTCTATTGTGTGATATAAAATTATTCCTGTTTAGCAAAACTTTCTTTTAACTAAAGAAAACATATCATCCTCCAAAAAACAGCCAGTCTGTCTCAATGGCCTGTCCAATATGGTTCTTTTCCAGAGTGCTACTGAAAGAAGCTTATGTCCTATGACATACGGAAGTATATTTTACATGATGGATAACTGGTATACAAGTTTAATGGAAAAGTTCAGACTTCAATACAAGAAACACAATAACTTTAACATACTATAACACCCAATGCCTTCAAATAATTTAGAACCTACCAGTCAAACTCAGTTTAAGAGCGGGTTAAATCTCAGCATAACGGACTGCCAGATAGGGTAGACTTCACGTAAAGCCCGACCAGAGGATGGGCTACACAGAAGATTTTAAGCTTACAAGACTTAGAGAAATCCCCGAGAGCTTCTCAAACGTCTAACTCCAAGACAACAAGCTTCCTTGGCTCAGCAAGCTGCATTTTTCTCACCGAGAACATGTGTTTAATTAACATGATTTAGCCTAGAGCACATTAGATTAATTGCTCCAATCCAATGCCCAGTGACAATGATATAAGGAATTAAACCAGCATGACATATGTACGGAAAAAAAAAACCCAATTCTCAGCTATGTTTTACACAGGAGTACCATGCAGTTCTTGTACCTTAACAAACACCCCAAGGTACAGACATCAATATCTGAAGCCAAACAGGGCTTTTTGCAGGCCTCGGTGCTGTGTGACTCCATTTCAAAGGTCACATTAGGGCTGTTCTGGCAAGGAAAAATAACCCCAAAGCAGCCAGGGAGACTCTGCCAGTGCCTCTCCCTGAAGGCAGCCTCGCCATCTAGGTGGAAACACTGCTAAAAATCCAGTGGGATGTGGGACAAGCAGGGAAAGAACCCTGTATCATTACAAAGGGCTACACAATAGAACCACAAAAGAGAATTTAAAATATGCACTAATGAAACCCCACTTCTCTGCCAGGCCCTGCACACAGGGCAGCCTCCTCTCCCCTGCTGCTGGCAAACACAGACGGGCAGGAGGGAATTAAACTGCAGGTAGCCTGTCCTTGCTCCTGTCCTCCCCTTGCAAGGGAGCCCAGTGAACAAACTGCTCACCCATTTTTATCTGACTCAAAGAACAAGGCTGAACAATATTAATGAACAAAAATGAACCAGTTTCTAAAGCTATAAGCATAGATTTTTAGAAGTGGAGAATGGCACAGAGCTAGAAGGAGCCTCCAGCAGATCCCAGGTTGACATTCTCAATTTAATTTTGTAACAGGAAATATCTCCTGCCGGCAGGAAACAAACGCATCTGAGTACTAGCATTAAAGTGCACACATGAAGCAAGCAACAACAATATTGATCTTGCTAACTTGTCAGGTGCAATCTGAGAGAAATCCAATATCAAAAATATCACCTAAACTCACAGGTAGCTTTTTTGGCTTTGTCCGTCTGATTTCCAGTGAAAAACGGTATTCACTTACCACTGAGGGCATCCGCAGTATTTGCACATCCAGGCGTAGCACCAGCTTCAGTTCAGCTACCGCTAGATGTCAGCAATAAGGTTGTGCAAACTAGAAAAACAACCATCAGAATGGTTGAGTTGGAAAGAATTTACACCAACCTCCGATTTATCTACAATACCCACAAATGAGGAAGAAATTTCATGAAATACAAGCCCCCTTAAGGAAATTTTCTAAGCTAATTTCCTCCAACTGGTTCAGCCTCAAGACAGCACAGACCATAGAGTGACAGTGCAATTTGCTGAACTACGCTAGTTCATTTGGTGGTATTGCAGAATATCTCATTCTTAACAACTGAACATGCTAATCTGCATAAAAAGCATCATTTCAGTCAGCATCAGCTAAGAAAATAAAACCCACAGCTTTATACACTCCCACATGAGTACTGTAATCATCATTCATCACTGATTAATTCACTGGAACTTTATCTAAGAACATAACGAGTAACATATGGACCTAATTACATTTTAACAGTGTTAAAAAAGAATTCCTGCAAAAGTCTGAGTTGCAGCACTGTTACTGCAATGATACACCTCACACAAACATTATTTATAATTCCTAACACACATTCCTTAGCTATTTTCCCCAAGATTGCCTACAAAATACTTAATATGATTTTCTGGGGGCCGACTCACAAAAAAACATACACAGAAAGTTGCAATATATTTCACCGATCATTTTTATATTTAAGACAAGAATTTTGCATCTAAGAGAGATGATGAAGCAGTGGTACAAAATTTCAGATTAATATTTTTGCCTCAAGAAATATCAACACGAGATTCATGCTATTAGCTTGATCACACCTCAGGATAAGGGAAAGTATATGCAACAAATAGCCAGTATACCCTAGTTTAGCTAAGCTAGAACAGCTGGGCCTTCCTAACCACAATAGAAACAGTCCGAAGCAAGGGGTATTTGCGCTACAGTTGCTTAACCATGCGGTAATTTCTAAAGCCATGACTCTGGATACTCCGCTGAAGCACAAGTCCCTCACAGGGCACCCACCACATGCAGCAAGTCCTTCACTGGGCGCCCCAACACACTGCGGGTCACTCAGTGGACACCCCCACACGCACCAGGTCCCTAACCAGGTACCCCCCACACGCACCCAGTCCCTCACCGGACACTCCCACACGCACCCGGAGCCTCCCCACGGGGCTGCGCTGCTCCTGGCGGCCGCGCGAGGCCGCCGCGCGCGGGGCGGAGCGGAGCGGGGCGGAGCGGCCCGGCCGGCGCCCCGGCAGCAGCAGCAGCAGCAGCGAGCATGTCCTCGAGCAGGGCCAAGAAAGTGAAGATGGCCACTAAGTCCTGCCCCGAGTGCGACCAGCAGGTGAGGCGCCCGCGGGCTCCCGTGGCGGGCTCCGGCGCGGGCGGGCGGGCGCGGGGCCCGCTGTGGCGGCTGCGGCCTCTTCCTGTTGCGGCTCCCTTCGGTTCCCGGGTCCTGCTGTCAGGGCGAGGGGCGCCTGCCGAGCCCACGAGCTCCGAGGAGAAGCGGGATCGCGCGCAGAGCCGGCCCGGCGGGTGTTGCCGTGCCAAGGGGCTGCTCTGTAACCCTGGCATTGACGAAAAATACAAACACGGTGATTTACACAATGCAGCTTGCCTTTGGGATGACTAACGTGCCGCAGGCCGGTCAGAACACTCTTCGGTCGAGTTGGCTTTTTGTTTGTTTCTGTGTGTTTTTTCCCCCCGCCATGGAATGCTTTAAAAGCAGCAAAGGCGGGAGCCTCACTGCAGTTTCTGCCACACGATCAGCCTCTGCAGAGAGTTTCGTGAGCCCCTGTCCTAGCCCTTGTTTATGTCCTGCCGCAGGGTTTTCACGCATGCCGAGCGGGGTTATTCACGCTAAGGCCCGGCCCAGCAGTTGTTTTTTGCTCCCGGGGCCGTTATAAATGAGAAGAGGCCGTTGGGCTGCGGCTGCTGCGACGCGGGCCCAGCACTGCGAGGGGCCGCCACGGGCGCGCGTGGGCGGCCTGGGTTAATCACGTGAAGCGCCATCCTGACTCCTGAGCTTTGCTGGTACACGGTTCTGTAAAACTGTACTTGAAAAGAAACCCCATAACACTTTTTTTATTTCCTAGAGTTTTAAGAAATTGGCTTGTTTATTTTGGCAGGCATTGGCTTTCCCAGCATTTCTACTCATCCTGGAGCAGTGGGCAATGTTAAGCTGTGCGTGGGGTATCCTGGCATGCTTTAAGCAATAGACGAACTGCTGCAAAGGCTTGTGTGTTAAATTCCTCACGGAAGTGCCGTTTCTGAGGAAAGGAAGTTACAGATTAATTGTTACATCTTTTTGTTGATGAGAGATGAAATTAAAATGTGTTAAGTTGAATGGAGAAGATTTTTTTTTCTTTTATCCGGAATGGCAACACTAGGAAAGGCAAATATGATAGACTCTTAAGTTGTTGTCGAAGTTTTTCACACTGGTGCTTTAAAAGAGATGCTGTGCGTGTGTGAGCACAGAGGTTCTGCGCTAGCAACTCGCCCCTGGCGCAGGGGCTCTGGGTGCCCTGCCCTGGCACAAAGGTTGTTCACAGCCCTGCTTGGAAACTGAAACCTTGCCCTGCTCCTGTCCCGTGCCAAGGCTTCCTGTGGGAGCAAGGAGCTGTTTGTCCCAGAACATCTTACCTCGTGCTGGGAGGCAGCTCTGCAGAAGATGCCAAAGCTTCTGTGCAACTCTTACTTGCTTGTGTCCTATGCTGGTGTTTCTTAAATTCTTCAGTAGGCTCTGAAGGCTCTGCATTTGTTTCTAGGCTGCCAGTTGTATGCATGGAAGTAGTTATACTCCAATATTTGTGTCTGTGCAATATTGATTTAACATTTCTTACACTTCTAAATTCTTTTTGCTGTCATTTAGACTACATGTAAATGTCTTGTAAACTTGTAAGGAGTGTAATTTAAATTATACTTTCAAAAACAGAGATCAGCAGCAGGAAACCTGGGAGTCTGAATTACTGGAATTCAATCTAAAGAAATAGTTACCAGTTCTTAATCTACCTTTAGGTAATCTCTCTTCTATGAGCAGATTTTTCCTTTTATTGTTATTAGGAAAATGTTGAACAGAGGAGAACTGTGTTTGCAAGACTCTGTGCCCCTACTTAATAACATGATTACAGGGTGTATTTGCAGCTCGCCGGACAGCTGAGGTCCCCTTCAAGGGATAAGGGGCATCTGTCAGCAAGTAAGTCCCTTCCCACCTAACTCCCCCTGCTAAGACACAAGTCTCTGCCAAACTAGGTAACCTAGAACAGAACTTGTTCTGTTAAACAGGGCAAATGCACTCAAATTGACTGGGTTTGCTCCTACCCTATTTGGTTGTTTTGCCCTTTTTTTTTTTTTTTTTTCCTTCTCCCTAGGCTGAGCTGGGAAGGTAGTTAATGGAAACAGGGTTAGAACAAAGCTCTTGTATCACCTAATGCAGCTGGGAACTCCCTGCTAGCCCATGTGCCCCTAGGCTCGCATGAGATGTCAAGGAGATGGGAGCTGTAAGGTTAAGTAGGCCTTGATTAGGAGTGTTTTTTGTTGTCTGTGTTTCTGACTTAAAGGGAATTAATTCTCTAGTTCATTAAAAATTGTATCAAAAGGACTATCTGTTAGTTGTCCGTAAATGTAAGAATTACAGATGTGCTACAGAAATCCAAATAGCTTGTTTATTCCAAGTTACACTTTACAAATTCATGAATTAAGTTGGCAGTTGTTCTTCCATCCAGTAGAACATTGGGGCTTTGTTCTTGTTCATGTCTGGTAAAGTGCAGTTATTCAGCAGACAGTCCTCACTCCTGTTTGTTTCCATGAGCATTGGCAAACCTGTAGAGACCTGTCTTCAAGAATTACTTTTGAGAAAGTACCTTCTTCTCCCCTCTTGCTGTCCTGCTTCAGCATGATTGTCTTTATTGTGCATTACGTTAATCTCTTCCAGATCTCTGTTTATACTTGCTTTGATTTGTATTTTCAGTCTTAAACCTAATTGAAGTAATATGGGGCGTTTCTTACTATTTTATAATATTCTGAAAGACCTCGGCTGTAAGAGAAGGTAACAAGGCTTGAAATTTATCAGCATTATTTTTCTAAATTGCTCCGAGGAAAGAATTTTGTATTTTTTTTTTCTGTGCAAGTGTTTTCCTGTTTTTCACATACTGTTTTAAATTTTCTTATGCCGAGGGTGTTTATTGTTTCTTGTTGCTCAGCTGGTTCGGAGAAGCCCTGTTGTTTTGCAGACTTCTCATTCTGCAGTCAGCCTCTGATTAGCTGTGGATGGGTTATTTGCATTTTGGTTTAACTACCTCCTTTGCCACCTCAGTGGCCCTGTGTGCAGCAGGGATGTAGAATCTGGTATAAATGTATCTGCTTTGTATCAGGCCTTATTCTGCCCGCTGTTAAAAGCAGCTTCTGCTCTCTGAAGGAGTCTCTTTGAAATGTTTCCGAAGGTGAATGTATGCAACACATCTGACACATTTAACTGTTGGTGTGGGATTTTTAGATTATTATTATTTATTTATTGTGGTTACCAGGGGAAGCAAAAGCAGGAATGTCTTACTGCTTTGACCAGGGATATTTTTTTGAAGAGAAATTCTCTTGCTATTCTAACTCGGCCAGGCATTCTTGCTTTCCAGTTCAATCCACCCCTTCCTGACCGCCTGCAGAAAGGGTTTGTACTGTGCTAAGTAATACAGAGTAGTCAGAACAGCCACGTTCGTCAAGCCTAATTATGAACAACGGTGCCCCGGGAAGCCTGGTGGTTGATTCATAGCAGAACCTGTTTCTACCCCATTTGAATGCAACTGTAAAGGCCATAGTTTCACAGTGCAAACAACATTTAAAGAGGTATCTCTGAGAAGGCAAAGGCAAGTTGCTAGGGTGTGGTGTGTTATTTTTTCCTTTCATTGAAAGGGAACTCTGTGATACCTTGAAGTGATTTGAAATATTTTTGTATTTTTTGTGTTCCCAGGTTCCTGTTGCATGTAAATCGTGTCCCTGTGGCTATATATTTATTAGTCGAAAGCTCCTGCATGCCAAACGTTCTGAGAGATCGCCACCCATCACAGGTAAAATTTATGAAGATAAGGAAGAAGACTGCTCTTTCCTGCATTCCGTAATTCTTGGAAATGGAAGATAGAATAATTTATGTCTTTATTCTTTGTGTGAATTTTGACTTTTGTCAGTTCTTTTGAATTGTGCATGGCAGACTTAATCTTTCTTGAATTTTGAGGGAAAAAGTAGGTATTTTTCTGTCAGGCTTCCTTTGTATTTGTTAGCATTT